TATTGCTAATGAAAAGTAGATACACCAGCATTTTCAGAAAAACAAACTATAAAATTGCTATCTTCAAAATCTTTATCAAAGAATAAAAAATGAATTGCCTTATAAATAGTTGTGATCCTTTTCCCTGTGAGTAATATATAAAAACAGAAATTGATTATCTTTATTATCTATAGAGATATGACTATATTACAGTTCATATTCATATGGAATATTATCTAAATTTCGACATTATTGTTTAAAAAATTATTTACCATTACTATTAGCTTGATAATATAACATTAGCCAAGGCTTTCTGGATAATATTAAAAACCTATAAAACTAAATTAATAATTTTATTGATCTTCAAAATACATGTTTTATAACCTATTGTATTTGTGTTATCGTAAATGACACTTCAAATTGTGTAATATAATATATCGGGTTATTTACAATTTTTCGTGTGATAATTAACCCTTTTTACTGCTGCCAGCGTTACACTATAACTTACTAGTAGTGAGTATTAACAAGTTTTGGTCAATGCAATGGTTACAGATTACTTAATCAGTATAATATAAAGTTAATAAATTCATAAAATAAAAAAAGATACCAAAAACATATATCTAAATAACCAATTATAAATTCAGTACAATGTTACCTATCTTATACATACATTTTGCTGTTGTATTATTAGGTTTATAATATTTATATTTCAGGGGATCCATTTAATTGGTGGAGGGGGGGTGCACTTATTATATTGAAAATATTACTTTTTTTGGATTTGCTTTGTAGGAGGTTTAAGAAACAAGCTGCTCTACAATTTTATATTTATGTTAATTTTTGTCATTCTTATTTTTAGTGGTATAACCACTATTTACTTTTAATTATCAAATGGTAGTCTGTATTAAAATGTCCATAAATATATGGAGTGTATTTTAAAATACATTTTTAATATAGGTTGCCATTTGAAAATCAATAGTAGTTAGTGGTTTTACTCCCAAACTTAAGAATGACAACAAATAACATAAATATAAAATTGTTGTAGAAAATAAATTATGGAAAAAGTTAATACTTTCTGAGATTAATGAATGTACACACTTAAATAAATCTCTTGGTAGTATCCATACAGAAGACTTAATAAAAACCTATTTTGTAGGTTTAAATTTTAATCGCAATATATTAAGTGATGTTAAAATAATGTAGTTATAAATAAATAATTAAAAGCTATCCAAAATGCATGGCTATTGTTGGCATTTTCTTTATAACATTCATATAAGTAATTTTTTTTTTTTATTGTATTAATAGTGATATTGTCATTAACATGGACAAGATATCCTTGTATTCCTGTCCAAAAAAAATGGAGTTTGTGAAAAAAGGATACTGCAAGTATTATTAGTTCAATTATGTACTCATATTACAATTGATTTAATTTAAATTGTATTTATTGCAGCTTTGTACTTGAAAGAACAAAAAGGAAGGAAAACCCAAAATGTTGAAATGATGAATTTCTTAAAAGATGTGGTAGAGTTTGAAAAAGAAATTGGAGGTGACATAAACATTTTTAAAGAGTTTGAAAATGAAGACAAAGAACATGCACCACCTCCTAAGGAACTAATAAAAGAACTGTTTGTTTCATCGAAAAGTACTAAAAAGTCATTAACAAATTTTAAAACACCATTACAATTAACAAAAAGTTTAAAGAGTGCTGGTCCTTCAAAATTTCAAGAGAATCCTGTCTCCAAAACTCGTGCATCATCAATACAATCGAGTAGAAGTTCTGATGGCAATTTTGTTTGTCATTTAAAAAATGGCTGCAATTTTACTACAAATCGTTANCAGCTTTGTACTTGAAAGAACAAAAAGGAACGAAAATCCAAAACGTTGAAATGAAGAATTTCTTAAAAGATGTGGTAGAGTTTGAAAAAGAAATTGGAGGTGACATAAACATTTTTAAAGAGTTTGAAAATGAAGACAAAGAACATGCACCACCTCCTAAGGAACTAATAAAAGAACTGTTTGTTTCATCGAAAAGTACTAAAAAGTCATTAACAAATTTTAAAACACCATTACAATTAACAAAAAGTTTAAAGAGTGCTGGTCCTTCAAAATTTCAAGAGAATCCTGTCTCCAAAACTCGTGCATCATCAATACAATCGAGTAGAAGAGATGGCAATTTTGTTTGTCATTTAAAAGATGGCTGCAATTTTACTACAAATCGTTATGAGATTCTTAAACGTCATATGGCTTTATGTAAGACTATTGTTGAAGATGTAACTAATTCAGAATTGAAAAGTAAGTCACAAAAACCGAGGGACAGAACAAAAGGAACCCCAACTAAAATTAACGTTGATGTTTTGAAAGACCGGGATGATGGAGAAGATCAAGTTGCTGATAATTTACCAATTCATAAAGTCGAACCAGGATGTTCGACTGAAAGTAATAAGGAAAAGATTTTAACTAAGTTTAATGATAATATTTCTCACATTGCTACCGATGCTACTGAGAATGTTGATGAACATTTAGATGGAGCTAAATCAGAATTGAAATATAAGTCACAAAAACGAAGGAATAGAACACAAAAAAACTTTACTAAAAAAACTAAAATAAACGATGATGTTTTGAAAGACTGTGATGATGGAGAAGATCAAAGTGCTGATAATTTACTAATTCATAATGCCGAATCAGGATGTTCAACTGAAAGTAACAAGGAAGACAATGAGGAGACGATTTTAACTAAGGTCAATGATAATATTATGGACATAGCCACCGATGCTACTGAGGATGTTGATGAACATTTAGATGGAGCTAAATCAGAATTGAAATATAAGTCACAAAAACGAAAGAATAAAACAAAAAGTAACTCTACTAAAAAAACTAAAATAAACTATGATGTTTTGAAATACTGGGATGATGGAGAAGATCATGGTACTGATAATTCACTAAACCATAATGCTGAGCCAGGATGTTCAACTGAAAGTAACAAGGAAGACAATGAGGAGACGAATTTAACTAAGTTTTATGATCATATTATGGACATTGCCACCGATGCTACTGAGAATGTTGATGAACATTTAGATGGAGCTAAATCAGAATTGAAATATAAGTCACAAAAACGAAGGAATAGAACACAAAAAAACTTTACTAAAAAAACTAAAATAAACGATGATGTTTTGAAAGACTGTGATGATGGAGAAGATCAAAGTGCTGATAATTTACTAATTCATAATGCCGAATCAGGATGTTCGACTGAAAGTAATAAGGAAAAGATTTTATCTAAGTTTTATGATCATATTATGGACATTG